AGGAAAACAACGCATAACCTACCTAGAGAGATTGAGTAAATGGATGGCGGAACAAGGTTTAGGAGATTGAAGGCAAGAGGGACAGAGGAAAACAACGCATAACCTACCTAGAGAGATTGAGTAAATGGATGGCGGAACAAGGTTTAGGAGATTGAAGGCAAGAGGGACAGAGGAAAACAACGCATAACCTACCTAGAGAGATTGAGTAAATGGATGGCGGAACAAGGTTTAGGAGATTGAAGGCAAGAGGGACAGAGGAAAACAACGCATAACCTACCTAGAGAGATTGAGTAAATGGATGGCGGAACAAGGTTTAGGAGATTGAAGGCAAGAGGGGGACAGAGGAAAACAACGCATAACCTACCTAGAGAGATTGAGTAAATGGATGGCGGAACAAGGTTTAGGAGATTGAAGGCAAGAGGGACAGAGGAAAACAACGCATAACCTACCTAGAGAGATTGAGTAAATGGATGGCGGAACAAGGTTTAGGAGATTGAAGGCAAGAGGGACAGAGGAAAACAACGCATAACCTACCTAGAGAGATTGAGTAAATGGATGGCGGAACAAGGTTTAGGAGATTGAAGGCAAGAGGGACAGAGGAAAACAACGCATAACCTACCTAGAGAGATTGAGTAAATGGATGGCGGAACAAGGTTTAGGAGATTGAAGGCAAGAGGGACAGAGGAAAAACAACGCATAACCTACCTAGAGAGATTGAGTAAATGGATGGCGGAACAAGGTTTAGGAGATTGAAGGCAAGAGGGACAGAGGAAAACAACGCATAACCTACCTAGAGAGATTGAGTAAATGGATGGCGGAACAAGGTTTAGGAGATTGAAGGCAAGAGGGACAGAGGAAAACAACGCATAACCTACCTAGAGATTGAGTAAATGGATAGCGAAACAAGGTTTAGGGAGATTGAAGGCAAGAGGGACAGAGGAAAACAACGCATAACCTACCTAGAGAGATTGAGTAAATGGATGGCGGAACAAGGTTTAGGAGATTGAAGGCAAGAGGGACAGAGGAAAACAACGCATAACCTACCTAGAGAGATTGAGTAAATGGATGGCGGAACAAGGTTTAGGAGATTGAAGGCAAGAGGGACAGATGAAAACAACGCATAACCTACCTAGAGAGATTGAGTAAATGGATGGCGGAACAAGGTTTAGGAGATTGAAGGCAAGAGGTCAGAGGAAAACAACGCATAACCTACCTAGAGAGCTTGAGTAAATGGATGGCGGAACAAGGTTTAGGAGATTGAAGGCAAGAGGGACAGAGGAAAACAACGCATAACCTACCTAGAGAGATTGAGTAAATGGATAGCGAAACAAGGTTTAGGAGATTGAAGGCAAGAGGGACAGAGGAAAACAACGCATAACCTAACCTAGAGAGATTGAGTAAATGGATAGCGGAAACAAGGTTTAGGAGATTGAAGGCAAGAGGGACAGAGGAAAACAACGCATAACCTACCTAGAGAGATTGAGTAAATGGATGGCGGAACAAGGTTTAGGAGATTGAAGGCAAGAGGGACAGAGGAAAACAACGCATAACCTACCTAGAGAGATTGAGTAAATGGATAGCGGAACAAGGTTTAGGAGATTGAAGGCAAGAGGGACAGAGGAAAACAACGCATAACCTACCTAGAGAGATTGAGTAAATGGATAGCGGAACAAGGTTTAGGAGATTGAAGGCAAGAGGGACAGAGGAAAACAACGCATAACCTACCTAGAGAGATTGAGTAAATGGATAAGCGAAACAAGGTTTAGGAGATTGAAGGCAAGAGGGACAGAGGAAAACAACGCATAACCTACCTAGAGAGATTGAGTAAATGGATAGCGGAACAAGGTTCAGGGGAGATTGAAGGCAAGAGGGACAGAGGAAAACAACGCATAACCTACCTAGAGAGAGAGTAAATTGAGTAAATGGATGGACAGAGGAAACAAGGTTCGAAACAAGGGGAGATTGAAGGCAAGAGGGACAGAGGAAAACAACGCATAACCTACCTAGAGAGATTGAGTAAATGGATGGCGAAACAAGGTTTAGGAGATTGAAGGCAAGAGGGACAGAGGAAAACAACGCATAACCTACCTAGAGAGATTGAGTAAATGGATAGCGGAACAAGGTTTAGGAGATTGAAGGCAAGAGGGACAGAGGAAAACAACGCATAACCTACCTAGAGAGATTGAGTAAATGGATGAAGCGGAACAAGGTTTAGGAGATTGAAGGCAAGAGGGACAGAGGAAAACAACGCATAACCTACCTAGAGAGATTGAGTAAATGGATGGCGGAACAAGGTTTAGGAGATTGAAGGCAAGAGGGACAGAGGAAAACAACGCATAACCTACCTAGAGAGATTGAGTAAAGAACAAGGTTTAGGAGATTGAAGGCAAGAGGGACAGCATAACCTACCTAGAGAGATTGAGTAAATGGATAGCGAAACAAGGTTTAGGAGATTGAAGGCAAGAGGGACAGAGGAAAACAACGCATAACCTACCTAGAGAGATTGAGTAAATGGATGGCGGAACAAGGTTCAGGAGATTGAAGGCAAGAGGGACAGAGGAAAACAACGCATAACCTACCTAGAGAGATTGAGTAAATGGATAGCGAAACAAGGTTTAGGAGATTGAAGGCAAGAGGGACAGAGGAAAACAACGCATAACCTACCTAGAGAGATTGAGTAAATGGATAGCGAAACAAGGTTTAGGGAGATTGAAGGCAAGAGGGACAGAGGAAAACAACGCATAACCTACCTAGAGAGATTGAGTAAATGGATAGCGGAACAAGGTTTAGGAGATTGAAGGCAAGAGGGACAGAGGAAAACAACGCATAACCTACCTAGAGAGATTGAGTAAATGGATAGCGGAACAAGGTTTAGGAGATTGAAGGCAAGAGGGACAGAGGAAAACAACGCATAACCTACCTAGAGAGATTGAGTAAATGGATGGCGGAACAAGGTTTAGGAGATTGAAGGCAAGAGGGACAGAGGAAAACAACGCATAACCTACCTAGAGAGAGAGATTGAGTAAATGGATAGCAGAGGAACAAGGTTTAGGAGATTGAAGGCAAGAGGGACAGAGGAAAACAACGCATAACCTACCTAGAGAGATTGAGTAAATGGATAGCGGAACAAGGTTTAGGAGATTGAAGGCAAGAGGGACAGAGGAAAACAACGCATAACCTACCTAGAGAGATTGAGTAAATGGATAGCGGAACAAGGTTTAGGAGATTGAAGGCAAGAGGGACAGAGGAAAACAACGCATAACCTACCTAGAGAGATTGAGTAAATGGATAGCGAAACAAGGTTTAGGAGATTGAAGGCAAGAGGGACAGAGGAAAACAACGCATAACCTAAGAGATTGAGTAAATGGATACGGAACAAGGTTTAGGAGAGAGATTGAGTAAATGGATAAATGGCGGAACAAGGTTTAGGAGATTGAAGGCAAGAGGGACAGAGGAAAACAACGCATAACCTACCTAGAGAGATTGAGTAAATGGATAGCGAAACAAGGTTTAGGAGATTGAAGGCAAGAGGGACAGAGGAAAACAACGCATAACCTACCTAGAGAGATTGAGTAAATGGATAGCGGAACAAGGTTTAGGAGATTGAAGGCAAGAGGGACAGAGAAAAAACAACGCATAACCTACCTAGAGAGATTGAGTAAATGGATAGCGGAACAAGGTTTAGGAGATTGAAGGCAAGAGGGACAGAGGAAAACAACGCATAACCTACCTAGAGAGATTGAGTAAATGGATAGCGGAACAAGGTTTAGGAGATTGAAGGCAAGAGGGACAGAGGAAAACAACGCATAACCTACCTAGAGAGATTGAGTAAATGGATAGCGAAACAAGGTTTAGGAGATTGAAGGCAAGAGGGACAGAGGAAAACAACGCATAACCTACCTAGAGAGATTGAGTAAATGGATAGCGGAACAAGGTTTAGGAGATTGAAGGCAAGAGGGACAGAGGAAAACAACGCATAACCTACCTAGAGAGATTGAGTAAATGGATAGGAACAAGGTTTAGGAGATTGAAGGCAAGAGGGACAGAGGAAAACAACGCATAACCTACCTAGAGAGATTGAGTAAATGGATAGCGGAACAAGGTTTAGGAGATTGAAGGCAAGAGGGACAGAGGAAAACAACGCATAACCTACCTAGAGAGATTGAGTAAATGGATAGCGGAACAAGGTTTAGGAGATTGAAGGCAAGAGGGACAGAGGAAAACAACGCATAACCTACCTAGAGAGATTGAGTAAATGGATAGCGAAACAAGGTTTAGGAGATTGAAGGCAAGAGGGACAGAGGAAAACAACGCATAACCTACCTAGAGAGATTGAGTAAATGGATAGCGAAACAAGGTTTAGGAGATTGAAGGCAAGAGGGACAGAGGAAAACAACGCATAACCTACCTAGAGAGATTGAGTAAATGGATAGCGGAAACAAGGTTTAGGAGATTGAAGGCAAGAGGGACAGAGGAAAACAACGCATAACCTACCTAGAGAGATTGAGTAAATGGATGGCGGAAACAAGGTTTAGGAGATTGAAGGCAAGAGGGACAGAGGAAAACAACGCATAACCTACCTAGAGAGATTGAGTAAATGGATAGCGGAACAAGGTTTAGGAGATTGAAGGCAAGAGGGACAGAGGAAAACAAGGGACATAACCTACCTAGAGAGATTGAGTAAATGGATAGCGAAACAAGGTTTAGGAGATTGAAGGCAAGAGGGACAGAGGAAAACAACGCATAACCTACCTAGAGAGATTGAGTAAATGGATAGCGGAACAAGGTTTAGGAGATTGAAGGCAAGAGGGACAGAGGAAAACAACGCATAACCTACCTAGAGAGATTGAGTAAATGGATAGCGGAACAAGGTTTAGGGAGATTGAAGGCAAGAGGGACAGAGGAAAACAACGCATAACCTACCTAGAGAGAGTGGAGGATATGGAACAAGTAAATGGATTGAAGGCAAGAGGGACAGAGGAAAACAACGCACAACCTACCTAGAGAGATTGAGTAAATGGATAGCGAAACAAGGTTTAGGAGATTGAAGGCAAGAGGGACAGAGGAAAACAACGCATAACCTACCTAGAGAGATTGAGTAAATGGATAGCGGAACAAGGTTTAGGAGATTGAAGGCAAGAGGGACAGAGGAAAACAACGCATAACCTACCTAGAGAGATTGAGTAAATGGATAGCGAAACAAGGTTTAGGAGATTGAAGGCAAGAGGGACAGAGGAAAACAACGCATAACCTACCTAGAGATTGAGTAAATGGATAGCGAAACAAGAGAGATTGAAGGCAAGAGGACAGTAAATGGATGAGTAAATGGATAGCGGAACAAGGTTTAGGAGATTGAAGGCAAGAGGGACAGAGGAAAACAACGCATAACCTACCTAGAGAGATTGAGTAAATGGATAGCGAAACAAGGTTTAGGAGATTGAAGGCAAGAGGGACAGAGGAAAACAACGCATAACCTACCTAGAGAGATTGAGTAAATGGATAGCGAAACAAGGTTTAGGAGATTGAAGGCAAGAGGGACAGAGGAAAACAACGCATAACCTACCTAGAGAGATTGAGTAAATGGATAGCGGAAACAAGGTTTAGGAGATTGAAGGCAAAGGGACAGAGAAAACAACGCATAACCTACCTAGAGAGATTGAGTAAATGGATAGCGGAACAAGGTTTAGGAGATTGAAGGCAAGAGGGACAGAGGAAAACAACGCATAACCTACCTAGAGAGATTGAGTAAATGGATAGCGAAACAAGGTTTAGGAGATTGAAGGCAAGAGGGACAGAGGAAAACAACGCATAACCTACCTAGAGAGATTGAGTAAATGGATAGCGAAACAAGGTTTAGGAGATTGAAGGCAAGAGGGACAGAGGAAAACAACGCATAACCTACCTAGAGAGATTGAGTAAATGGATAGCGAAACAAGGTTTAGGAGATTGAAGGCAAGAGGGACAGAGGAAAACAACGCATAACCTACCTAGAGAGATTGAGTAAATGGATAGCGAAACAAGGTTTAGGAGATTGAAGGCAAGAGGGACAGAGGAAAACAACGCATAACCTACCTAGAGAGATTGAGTAAATGGATAGCGAAACAAGGTTTAGGAGATTGAAGGCAAGAGGGACAGAGGAAAACAACGCATAACCTACCTAGAGAGATTGAGTAAATGGATAGCGAAACAAGGTTTAGGAGATTGAAGGCAAGAGGGACAGAGGAAAACAACGCATAACCTACCTAGAGAGATTGAGTAAATGGATAGCGAAACAAGGTTTAGGGAGATTGAAGGCAAGAGGGACAGAGGAAAACAACGCATAACCTACCTAGAGAGATTGAGTAAATGGATAGCGAAACAAGGTTTAGGAGATTGAAGGCAAGAGGACAGAGGAAAACAACGCATAACCTACCTAGAGAGATTGAGTAAATGGATAGCGGAAACAAGGTTTAGGAGATTGAAGGCAAGAGGGACAGAGGAAAACAACGCATAACCTACCTAGAGAGATTGAGTAAATGGATAGCGGAAACAAGGTTTAGGAGATTGAAGGCAAGAGGGACAGAGGAAAACAACGCATAACCTACCTAGAGAGATTGAGTAAATGGATAGCGGAACAAGGTTTAGGAGATTGAAGGCAAGAGGGACAGAGGAAAACAACGCATAACCTACCTAGAGAGAGATTGAGTTTGGGAATGGATAGGGCGAAACAAGGTTTAGGAGATTGAAGGAAACAAGAGGAGATTGAAGAAAACAAAAAAACAACATAACCTAGAGAGATTGAGTAAATGGATAGCGGAACAAGGTTTAGGAGATTGAAGGCAAGAGGGACAGAGGAAAACAACGCATAACCTACCTAGAGAGATTGAGTAAATGGATAGCGAAACAAGGTTTAGGAGATTGAAGGCAAGAGGGACAGAGGAAAACAACGCATAACCTACCTAGAGAGATTGAGTAAATGGATAGCGGAACAAGGTTTAGGAGATTGAAGGCAAGAGGGACAGAGGAAAACAACGCATAACCTACCTAGAGAGATTGAGTAAATGGATAGCGGAACAAGGTTTAGGAGATTGAAGGCAAGAGGGACAGAGGAAAACAACGCATAACCTACCTAGAGAGATTGAGTAAATGGATGGCGGAACAAGGTTTAGGAGATTGAAGGCAAGAGGGACAGAGGAAAACAACGCATAACCTACCTAGAGAGATTGAGTAAATGGATAGCGGAAACAAGGTTTAGGAGATTGAAGGCAAGAGGGACAGAGGAAAACAACGCATAACCTACCTAGAGAGATTGAGTAAATGGATGGCGGAAACAAGGTTTAGGAGATTGAAGGCAAGAGGGACAGAGGAAAACAACGCATAACCTACCTAGAGAGATTGAGTAAATGGATAGCGAAACAAGGTTTAGGAGATTGAAGGCAAGAGGGACAGAGGAAAACAACGCATAACCTACCTAGAGAGATTGAGTAAATGGATAGCGGAACAAGGTTTAGGAGATTGAAGGCAAGAGGGACAGAGGAAAACAACGCATAACCTACCTAGAGAGATTGAGTAAATGGATGGCGGAACAAGGTTTAGGAGATTGAAGGCAAGAGGGACAGAGGAAAACAACGCATAACCTACCTAGAGAGATTGAGTAAATGGATAGCGGAACAAGGTTTAGGAGATTGAAGGCAAGAGGGACAGAGGAAAACAACGCATAACCTACCTAGAGAGATTGAGTAAATGGATAGGCGGAACAAGGTTTAGGAGATTGAAGGCAAGAGGGACAGAGGAAAACAACGCATAACCTACCTAGAGAGATTGAGTAAATGGATAGCGGAACAAGGTTTAGGAGATTGAAGGCAAGAGGGACAGAGGAAAACAACGCATAACCTACCTAGAGAGATTGAGTAAATGGATAGCGGAACAAGGTTTAGGAGATTGAAGGCAAGAGGGACAGAGGAAAACAACGCATAACCTACCTAGAGAGATTGAGTAAATGGATAGCGGAACAAGGTTTAGGGAGATTGAAGGCAAGAGGGACAGAGGAAAACAACGCATAACCTACCTAGAGAGATTGAGTAAATGGATAGCGGAACAAGGTTTAGGAGATTGAAGGCAAGAGGGACAGAGGAAAACAACGCATAACCTACCTAGAGAGATTGAGTAAATGGATGGCGGAAACAAGGTTTAGGAGATTGAAGGCAAGAGGGACAGAGGAAAACAACGCATAACCTACCTAGAGAGATTGAGTAAATGGATAGCGAAACAAGGTTTAGGAGATTGAAGGCAAGAGGGACAGAGGAAAACAACGCATAACCTACCTAGAGAGATTGAGTAAATGGATAGCGAAACAAGGTTTAGGAGATTGAAGGCAAGAGGGACAGAGGAAAACAACGCATAACCTACCTAGAGAGATTGAGTAAATGGATAGCGGAAACAAGGTTTAGGAGATTGAAGGCAAGAGGGACAGAGGAAAACAACGCATAACCTACCTAGAGAGATTGAGTAAATGGATAGCGGAACAAGGTTTAGGAGATTGAAGGCAAGAGGGACAGAGGAAAACAACGCATAACCTACCTAGAGAGATTGAGTAAATGGATGGAGGAAACAAGGTTTAGAGAGATTGAAGGCAAGAGGGACAGAGGAAAACAACGCATAACCTACCTAGAGAGATTGAGTAAATGGATAGCGGAACAAGGTTTAGGAGATTGAAGGCAAGAGGGACAGAGGAAAACAACGCATAACCTACCTAGAGAGATTGAGTAAATGGATGGCGAAACAAGGTTCAGGAGATTGAAGGCAAGAGGGACAGAGGAAAACAACGCATAACCTACCTAGAGAGATTGAGTAAATGGATAGCGAAACAAGGTTTAGGAGATTGAAGGCAAGAGGGACAGAGGAAAACAACGCATAACCTACCTAGAGAGATTGAGTAAATGGATAGCGAAACAAGGTTTAGGAGATTGAAGGCAAGAGGGACAGAGGAAAACAACGCATAACCTACCTAGAGATTGAGTAAATGGAAGGCGAAACAAGGTTTGGGAGATTGAAGGCAAGAGGGACAGAGGAAAACAACGCATAACCTACCTAGAGAGATTGAGTAAATGGATAGCGGAACAAGGTTTAGGAGATTGAAGGCAAGAGGGGACAGAGGAAAACAACAGCATAACCTACCTAGAGAGATTGAGTAAATGGATAGCGGAACAAGGTTTAGGAGATTGAAGGCAAGAGGGACAGAGGAAAACAACGCATAACCTACCTAGAGAGATTGAGTAAATGGATAGCGGAACAAGGTTTAGGAGATTGAAGGCAAGAGGGACAGAGGAAAACAACGCATAACCTACCTAGAGAGATTGAGTAAATGGATAGCGGAACAAGGTTTAGGAGATTGAAGGCAAGAGGGACAGAGGAAAACAACGCATAACCTACCTAGAGAGATTGAGTAAATGGATAGCGGAACAAGGTTTAGGAGATTGAAGGCAAGAGGGACAGAGGAAAACAACGCATAACCTACCTAGAGAGATTGAGTAAATGGATAGCGGAACAAGGTTTAGGGAGATTGAAGGCAAGAGGGACAGAGGAAAACAACGCATAACCTACCTAGAGATGGATTGAGTAAATGGATAGCGGAACAAGGTTTAGGAGATTGAAGGCAAGAGGGACAGAGGAAAACAACGCATAACCTACCTAGAGAGATTGAGTAAATGGATAGCGGAACAAGGTTTAGGAGATTGAAGGCAAGAGGGACAGAGGAAAACAACGCATAACCTACCTAGAGAGATTGAGTAAATGGATGGCGAAACAAGGTTTAGGAGATTGAAGGCAAGAGGGACAGAGGAAAACAACGCATAACCTACCTAGAGAGATTGAGTAAATGGATGGCGGAACAAGGTTTAGGAGATTGAAGGCAAGAGGGACAGAGGAAAACAACGCATAACCTACCTAGAGAGATTGAGTAAATGGATAGCGGAACAAGGTTTAGGAGATTGAAGGCAAGAGGGACAGAGGAAAACAACGCATAACCTACCTAGAGAGATTGAGTAAATGGATGGCGGAACAAGGTTTAGGAGATTGAAGGCAAGAGGGACAGAGGAAAACAACGCATAACCTACCTAGAGAGATTGAGTAAATGGATAAAGCAAGAGGGACAGAGGAACAAGGTTTAGGAGATTGGAAGGCAAGAGGGACAGAGGAAAAACAACGCATAACCTACCTAGAGAGATTGAGTAAATGGATAGCGGAACAAGGTTTAGGAGATTGAAGGCAAGAGGGACAGAGGAAAACAACGCATAACCTACCTAGAGAGATTGAGTAAATGGATAGCGGAACAAGGTTTAGGAGATTGAAGGCAAGAGGGACAGAGGAAAAAACAACGCATAACCTACCTAGAGAGATTGAGTAAATGGATAGCGGAACAAGGTTTAGGAGATTGAAGGCAAGAGGGACAGAGGAAAACAACGCATAACCTACCTAGAGAGATTGAGTAAATGGATAGCGGAACAAGGTTTAGGAGATTGAAGGCAAGAGGGACAGAGGAAAACAACGCATAACCTACCTAGAGAGATTGAGTAAATGGATAGCGGAACAAGGTTTAGGAGATTGAAGGCAAGAGGGACAGAGGAAAACAACGCATAACCTACCTAGAGAGATTGAGTAAATGGATAGCGGAACAAGGTTTAGGGAGATTGAAGGCAAGAGGGACAGAGGAAAACAACGCATAACCTACCTAGAGAGATTGAGTAAATGGATAGCGGAACAAGGTTTAGGAGATTGAAGGCAAGAGGGACAGAGGAAAACAACGCATAACCTACCTAGAGAGATTGAGTAAATGGATAGCGGAACAAGGTTTAGGAGATTGAAGGCAAGAGGGACAGAGGAAAACAACGCATAACCTACCTAGAGAGATTGAGTAAATGGATAGCGGAACAAGGTTTAGGAGATTGAAGGCAAGAGGGACAGAGGAAAACAACGCATAACCTACCTAGAGAGATTGAGTAAATGGATGGCGAAACAAGGTTCAGGAGATTGAAGGCAAGAGGGACAGAGGAAAACAACGCATAACCTACCTAGAGAGATTGAGTAAATGGATGGCGGAACAAGGTTTAGGAGAACAAGGTTTGAGTAAATGGATATGGAACAAGGAGATTGAAGGCAAGAGGGACAGAGAAAACAACGCATAACCTACCTAGAGAGATTGAGTAAATGGATAGCGGAACAAGGTTTAGGAGATTGAAGGCAAGAGGGACAGAGAAAACAACGCATAACCTACCTAGAGAGATTGAGTAAATGGATAGCGAAACAAGGTTTAGGAGATTGAAGGCAAGAGGGACAGAGGAAAACAACGCATAACCTACCTAGAGAGATTGAGTAAATGGATGGCGGAACAAGGTTGAAGGCAAGAGGACAGAGGAGATTGAAGGTAAAGGGACAGAGGAAAACAAGGACAGAGGAAACCAACCTAGAGAGATTGAGTAAATGGATGGCGGAACAAGGTTTAGGAGATTGAAGGCAAGAGGGACAGAGGAAAACAACGCATAACCTACCTAGAGAGATTGAGTAAATGGATAGCGAAACAAGGTTTAGGAGATTGAAGGCAAGAGGGACAGAGGAAAACAACGCATAACCTACCTAGATAGCTTGAGTAAATGGATTGTGGAACAAGGTTTAGGAGATTGAAGAAAGAGGCAAAGAGGAAATCAACGCATTATCTACCGAGAGAGATTGAGTAAATGGATAGCGAAACAAGGTTCAGGAGATTGAAGGCAAGAGGGACAGAGGAAAACAACGCATAACCTACCTAGAGAGATTGAGTAAATGGATAGCGGAACAAGGTTCAGGAGATTGAAGGCAAGAGGGACAGAGGAAAACAACGCATAACCTACCTAGAGAGATTGAGTAAATGGATAGCGGAACAAGGTTTAGGAGATTGAAGGCAAGAGGGACAGAGGAAAACAACGCATAACCTACCTAGAGAGATTGAGTAAATGGATAGCGGAACAAGGTTTAGGAGATTGAAGGCAAGAGGGACAGAGGAAAACAACGCATAACCTACCTAGAGAGATTGAGTAAATGGATAGGGACGGAAACAAGGTTTAGGAGATTGAAGGCAAGAGGGACAGAGGAAAACAACGCATAACCTACCTAGAGAGATTGAGTAAATGGATAGCGGAACAAGGTTTAGGAGATTGAAGGCAAGAGGGACAGAGGAAAACAACGCATAACCTACCTAGAGAGATTGAGTAAATGGATAGCGGAACAAGGTTTAGGGAGATTGAAGGCAAGAGGGACAGAGGAAAACAACGCATAACCTACCTAGAGAGATTGAGTAAATGGATAGCGGAACAAGGTTTAGGAGATTGAAGGCAAGAGGGACAGAGGAAAACAACGCATAACCTACCTAGAGAGATTGAGTAAATGGATAGCGGAACAAGGTTTAGGAGATTGAAGGCAAGAGGGACAGAGGAAAACAACGCATAACCTACCTAGAGAGATTGAGTAAATGGATAGCGGAACAAGGTTTAGGAGATTGAAGGCAAGAGGGACAGAGGAAAACAACGCATAACCTACCTAGAGAGATTGAGTAAATGGATAGCGGAACAAGGTTTAGGAGATTGAAGGCAAGAGGGACAGAGGAAAACAACGCATAACCTACCTAGAGAGATTGAGTAAATGGATAGCGGAACAAGGTTTAGGAGATTGAAGGCAAGAGGGACAGAGGAAAACAACGCATAACCTACCTAGAGAGATTGAGTAAATGGATAGGGCAGAGGGAACAAGGTTTGAGGAGATTGAAGGCAAGAGGGACAGAGGAAAACAACGCATAACCTACCTAGAGAGATTGAGTAAATGGATAGCGGAACAAGGTTTAGGAGATTGAAGGCAAGAGGGACAGAGGAAAACAACGCATAACCTACCTAGAGAGATTGAGTAAATGGATAGCGGAACAAGGTTTAGGAGATTGAAGGCAAGAGGGACAGAGGAAAACAACGCATAACCTACCTAGAGAGATTGAGTAAATGGATAGAGAAACAAGGTTTAGGAGATTGAAGGCAAGAGGGACAGAGGAAAACAACGCATAACCTACCTAGAGAGATTGAGTAAATGGATAGCGGAACAAGGTTTAGGAGATTGAAGGCAAGAGGGACAGAGGAAAACAACGCATAACCTACCTAGAGAGATTGAGTAAATGGATAGCGGAACAAGGTTTAGGAGATTGAAGGCAAGAGGGACAGAGGAAAACAACGCATAACCTACCTAGAGAGATTGAGTAAATGGATAGCGGAACAAGGTTTAGGAGATTGAAGGCAAGAGGGACAGAGGAAAACAACGCATAACCTACCTAGAGAGATTGAGTAAATGGATAGCGGAACAAGGTTTAGGAGATTGAAGGCAAGAGGGACAGAGGAAAACAACGCATAACCTACCTAGAGAGATTGAGTAAATGGATATGGAACAAGGTTTAGGAGATTGAAGGCAAGAGGACAGAAGAAACAAGGGAGAGAGGTAAATGGATAGCGGAACAAGGTTTAGGAGATTGAAGGCAAGAGGGACAGAGGAAAACAACCTAACCTAGAGAGATTGAGTAAATGGATAGCGGAACAAGGTTAGGGAGATTGAAGGCAAGAGGGACAGAGGAAAACAACGCATAACCTACCTAGAGAGATTGAGTAAATGGATAGCGGAACAAGGTTTAGGAGATTGAAGGCAAGAGGGACAGAGGAAAACAACGCATAACCTACCTAGAGAGATTGAGTAAATGGATAGCGGAACAAGGTTTAGGAGATTGAAGGCAAGAGGGACAGAGGAAAACAACGCATAACCTACCTAGAGAGATTGAGTAAATGGATAGCGGAACAAGGTTTAGGAGATTGAAGGCAAGAGGGACAGAGGAAAACAACGACATAACCTACCTAGAGAGATTGAGTAAATGGATAGCGGAACAAGGTTTAGGAGATTGAAGGCAAGAGGGACAGAGGAAAACAACGCATAACCTACCTAGAGAGATTGAGTAAATGGATAGCGGAACAAGGTTTAGGAGATTGAAGGCAAGAGGGACAGAGGAAAACAACGCATAACCTACCTAGAGAGATTGAGTAAATGGATAGCGGAACAAGGTTTAGGAGATTGAAGGCAAGAGGGACAGAGGAAAACAACGCATAACCTACCTAGAGAGATTGAGTAAATGGATAGCGGAACAAGGTTTAGGAGATTGAAGGCAAGAGGGACAGAGGAAAACAACGCATAACCTACCTAGAGAGATTGAGTAAATGGATAGACGGAAAACAAGGTTTAGGAGATTGAAGGCAAGAGGGACAGAGGAAAAACAACGCATAACCTACCTAGAGAGATTGAGTAAATGGATAGCGGAACAAGGTTTAGGAGATTGAAGGCAAGAGGGACAGAGGAAAACAACGCATAACCTACCTAGAGAGATTGAGTAAATGGATAGCGGAACAAGGTTTAGGAGATTGAAGGCAAGAGGGACAGAGGAAAACAACGCATAACCTACCTAGAGAGATTGAGTAAATGGATAGCGGAACAAGGTTTAGGAGATTGAAGGCAAGAGGGACAGAGGAAAACAACGCATAACCTACCTAGAGAGATTGAGTAAATGGATAGCGGAACAAGGTTTAGGGAGATTGAAGGCAAGAGGGACAGAGGAAAACAACGCATAACCTACCTAGAGAGATTGAGTAAATGGATTGAACAAGGTAAATGGAGGGACAGAGGAAAACAAGGTAGAGAGATTGAGTAAATGGAAGGAACAAGGTTTAGGGACAGGGACAGGAAAACAACGCATAACCTACCTAGAGAGATTGAGTAAATGGATGGCGGAACAAGGTTTAGGAGATTGAAGGCAAGAGGGACAGAGGAAAACAACGCATAACCTACCTAGAGAGATTGAGTAAATGGATGGCGGAACAAGGTTTGGGAGATTGAAGGCAAGAGGGAGAGAGGAAAACAACGTATAACCTACCTAGAGAGATTGAGTAAATGGATGGCGGAACAAGGTTTAGGAGATTGAAGGCAAGAGGGACAGAGGAAAACAACGCATAACCTACCTAGAGAGATTGAGTAAATGGATGGCGGAACAAGGTTTAGGAGATTGAAGGCAAGAGGGACAGAGGAAAACAACGCATAACCTACCTAGAGAGATTGAGTAAATGGATGGCGGAAACAAGGTTTAGGAGATTGAAGGCAAGAGGGACAGAGGAAAACAACGCATAACCTACCTAGAGAGATTGAGTAAATGGATGGCGGAACAAGGTTTAGGAGATTGAAGGCAAGAGGGGCAGAGGAAAACAACGCATAACCTACCTAGAGAGATTGAGTAAATGGATATGGAACAAGGTTTAGGAGATTGAAGGCAAGAGGGACAGAGGAAAACAACGCATAACCTACCTAGAGAGATTGAGTAAATGGATAGCGGAACAAGGTTTAGGAGATTGAAGGCAAAAGAGGGACAGAGGAAAACAACGCATAACCTACCTAGAGAGATTGAGTAAATGGATAGCGGAACAAGGTTTAGGAGATTGAAGGCAAGAGGGACAGAGGAAAACAACGCATAACCTACCTAGAGAGTAATTGGATAAATGGAGGAGATTGAAGGCAAGAGGGACAGAGGAAAACAAGGTTTAGAGAGATAAATGGATAAGGAACAAGAGGGACATTGAAGGCAAAACAAGGAAAACAATGCATAACCTACCTAGAGAGATTGAGTAAATGGATAGCGGAACAAGGTTTAGGAGATTGAAGGCAAGAGGGACAGAGGAAAACAACGCATAACCTACCTAGAGAGATTGAGTAAATGGATAGCGGAACAAGGTTTAGGAGATTGAAGGCAAGAGGGACAGAGGAAAACAACGCATAACCTACCTAGAGAGATTGAGTAAATGGATAGCGGAACAAGGTTTAGGAGATTGAAGGCAAGAGGGACAGAGGAAAACAACGCATAACCTACCTAGAGAGATTGAGTAAATGGATAGCGGAACAAGGTTTAGGAGATTGAAGGCAAGAGGGACAGAGGAAAACAACGCATAACCTACCTAGAGAGATTGAGTAAATGGATGGCGGAACAAGGTTTAGGAGATTGAAGGCAAGAGGGACAGAGGAAAACAACGCATAACCTACCTAGAGAGATTGAGTAAATGGATTGAACAAGGTTTAGAATGAAGGCAAGAGGGACGGAACAAGAGATTGAGGAGATGGAAGGAACAAGAGGAGATTGAAGGCAAGAGGGACAGAAAACAACGCATAACCTA